TTGGTGTTGAATATTTTCTGTTGTCATCAAAACATACTTTCAAAATTATTTAAAAGGAAGCTTAGTACATTTATTTCATTAAAACAAAAAACAACCAAAAAACTTCTTTGTAAACGTTTCTTATGATAATAAGCTTACATATGTGAATAAATTATCAAAAATTATTTCTAAGAAACTATAGTATACTGTCATGGGTGTTTTTTGTTTCTTGTTTTTAATCTGTAAAATAAAATGACTGCAATTATTTTTTTTTTTTGCCTGACCTATAATATCAGTAATAAATTACCCAGCCTCAGATATTCCTTTATAGCAACACTAAACATACTAAGAAAATTGGTATTCAGGAGTGAGGCATTGCTCTAAAGATGCCTGAAAATGGTGGGAGTAGCTTTTGAACTAGGTAATAGGCAGAGGTTGGAAGAGTTTGTTTGGAGGGCTCAGGAGAAGACAGGAAGACAAGGGAAAGTTTGGAACGTCTTAGAGATTGGTTAAGTAGTGGTGGATTGAAATGCTTATAGAAAAAGAGACAGCAAAGGTCATACTGAGGAAGCCTTAAATGGAAATGATGAACTTATTAGTAACTGAAGCAAAGGTCACACTTGTTACACGATAGCAAAGAATGTCTGCATTGTGTCCATGCTCTAGGGCTTTATGGAAGGCCTAATTTCAGAGATGGCCAAGGGTATCTGGGAAAAGAAATTTCTAATCATCAAAGTGCTCAGGCTGCTGCATGGTTACTTCTAACTGCTTAGAGACCAGAGGAAAATTGGAAAATGTACAGCCTTGCTTTGTGTTAGAGAAGGAAAGAAGAGTGTTTTTAGAAGAGGAATCTAAGAGTATGGCAAAGCAGGAGCAATAGTTTTCTAAAGAGGTTATCTTGATTAAAAGGGGCCAGGTGCTAACAAGACTATGGTAAATATGTCTCAAAGCCATTTCAGAAATCTTTGATGCCACCCCCTCCTATCACAGATCGAGAAGCTTAGAATGAAAGAATGGTTTTTTGACGTGGTGGGTGATACTGCTCCCCACACCTCACTGGCACCAGCTGTTCTGGAAGGTGTACCCAGTAAGCTTTGCGGGCTTCCATGTTGTGTTAAGTCTGCAAGCATGCTGAATGCAAGAGTGGTGGAGATTTGGCGGCTTTCACTTACATTTGAGAGGATGTATTAGAAAGTCTGGCTACCCAGAGGACTGCTACAGGGGCTGAAAGCCTCTACTAGAGAAGTACCTAGTGGAGGAGATGGAGCAGGGCTACCCCTCTCCGACTTCAGAATGGTAGAACCACCACCAGCTTGCAGTCTCAGCCTGGAAAAGCTACAGGTATTGGATGCCAACCCACAAGAGCAGCTACATGGGCTGCACCCAGCAAAGCCAAGGGGATGGGGATGCCTGAAGCTCTGGAACCCACCTCTTGAACCAGTGTTCTTAGGATGTGGGACATGGAATCAAAGGAGATTATTTTGGAGCTTTAATATTTAATATCTGTCCTGCTAGGTTTGGGATTCACATGGATCAATTTGAGAGATGAAAACATGTTTTGATTTGCATTTAAATGGTGACGTTAAGGTTGAACATCTTTTAAATGCTTACAGATGTCTTCCTGTGAGAATTGCCCATTTTCCTATTTGTATTTAACCTGTTAATGATATTTTAGAACTCTTGGGGCCTATTACCCCTTTCTTTTGGCCTATTTTTCCCATTTGGAGTGGGAATGTCTGCACCACCATTGTGTCTTAGAAGTAAATTGTTTTTGATTTTACAGGGTCACAGTTGTGAGGAACTTGCTTTGAGTCTCAAATGAGACTTTAGACTTTTGAGTTGATGCTGGAACAAGACTTTGGGGGATGGAATAATTGTATTTTGCAATGTGAGAAAGACATGAGATTTGTTTTTCATCCCACCAAATCTTACGCTGAAATTTGATCCCCAGTATTGGAGGTGGGGCCAGATGGGAGAAATTTGGAGACAGATCCCCCATGGATGGCTTGGTGACATTCTCCCAGGAATAAATAGTTTCTCTTGGTTCCCATAAGAACTGCTTGTTAAAAAGCCTAGCACCTCCTCCTCTCTCACCACATGATCTGCAAATGGCAGCTCCCTTTCACATTCCACCATGAGTAGAAGCAGCCTGAGTCCCTGGACAGAAGCAGATGCTGGCACCATGCTTTTTGTGCAGCCTACAGAATGGTGAGCCAAGTAAATCTCTTTTCTTCATGAATTACCTAGCCTCAGGTATTCCTTTATGGCAACACTAAAGAGACTCAAGACAAGATCCAAATAAAATTAAACTTTAACTAAACATGGTATCAATAATTGAAATAACAGTCCTCCTCTATAGTGCCCTCAGCCATCTAAGTTCTCCCATGCACAGCCCATGCCAACTCTGATGCATCTCTTTCCTAGTGACTGAAAAAGGCCAATGCCAGAAACTTTAAAAAAAATACACTTTTGGGATGGAGGATATATTATATTAAAATGTAGCATATAATTAAGGTAGCATTTCAAGTGAAATGCAGAAAAATATGTATTATTCAATAAATGATCTTCATAAAACTGGCGACATGATGGAGGGTGAGAGGATGTTTAATATTCCTACTTTATGCCTAAATGCATTCCAAGTAGATACACATAAAAATAGAAGCTAAAAAGAAATAAATGAACAGTGGATGTCAGGGTAGCAAATGCCCTGTTATGCCTATAAGCAAAAGTAAAACCATGAAAGATTATTACATAATATTTTGAACTTTTGGAAATAATATATTTTTAAAATATAAAACCAAGCCAAAGACACATCACAAACAGGAAAATGTCTACAACATAAATAAAGAAATAAAGCTTTTATTAATAAAGAGCTCTAAAATATCAACAACAACAAAAATATCAACAAACAGGTTAAATACAAATAGGAAAATGGGCAGTTCTCAAAGGAAGACATCCATAAGTTTTTGAAAGATGTTCAACCTTAACTTCACCGTTTAAATGCAAATTAAAACATCTTCATCTATCAAATTGACGAAGACTGGAAAAAGCTAAAAGAAAATTGCTGAACATACTGAAAAGTGGGCACCAAATATTTCTGCTGAAGTAAGATAAATTAGTAGAACTGTTTTGAAAGGCAGACTTGCTGCAGATCCTTAGTGTGATGTCAGTCACTTAAAATTCTTACTTATATAAGCCCTTCTATTTTCCCTAACTCCTAGTTGGGCATATGTTCAACAAACAGGCTTTGTTTAAGTATGAGACACCTGCACTGGAACTAAAATTAAAGGATTTACTTTGGTTTATTTGGTTGGATAGAATTTCTTGGCATTCTCTGTTTACAAAAAATATGCAGTGGCACCTGTCAAAATTAGTATTTGAATTATATGGGTTGGCTTAGTTTCTAAACATAAGTCTAAATCCTCTCATGTTTCATTCATTGTTAAGAAATATTTAGGTTTGAGAGAGAAAAAGGAAAGAAGGAAAGTAAAAGCAGAGAGAAATTTTAATTTCTCAGTTGGGCTTTATTATGTTAAAAAGTGAGCTATTTTTGTTTTTTAATTCACATTTTGATTGAGTTGTTACTAAATGTATTTCTTCACAACTAAGCCTCCACATAACCAATTTTTCTTGGCTTAGTTGTTTTCAGTTTTATTAAAGTAGCCCCTGCTCTTATCAAGTCTGTGAAATTGCTTTAGCAACCCTATCCAAAGATAGGATATAGTTGTTAAAATTGGACAAAGAGAAAGATATAAGAGGGACATTTTCTAAATTCAATAGAACTACAATAGAGCACAGTTTTAAAATGAAGTTGTTCATTTAAACTAATAGAAATAAATGTTCTGTAGCCAGTTTAGCCCCATTTCTACCCCCGCCTCCCGCCCGCCCCGGGGTTCCTTAAAATGACGGTAAGTTTTTAAATAGTAAAACAGGGATATATGACTAATAAAAATGATAAAAATGGCTGACCTTTATTGAGTGCTTGCTACATGCCAGGTACTAATCCAATCCCATTACATATATACATGTATTTATACCAAGGTTTAATCTTGTAGCTATTTTCCTGTTTTTGGTGTGTCTTTGGCTTAGTTTTATATTTTAAAAATATATTATTTCCAGAAGTCCAAAATATTATGTAATAATCTTTCATGGTTTTACTTTTGCTTATAGGCATAACAGGGCATTTGCTACCCTGACATCCACTGTTCGTTTATTTCTTTTTAGCTTCTATTTTTATATTTAATCTTAATGACAACCCTATGGGAATTAAACCTCATAACATTCATTATTATCTCCATTCTGCAGGTGAAGAAACTACAGCACAGGGAGGCTAAGTAACTTAAGCTCATACAGATAGTAAGTGATAGAACAAGGAAGTGAAAAAATAATTGACACTTCTTAGGAGTTTTCTGGTAAGCTACAATGTAGAAGGGGCTACTGAATCTAATGAGTAAATTAAAGCAAAGTACAATCTGATGTATTTTCTGAGTATAGCAATAATATGTATTGCAGATTTGTTCACTTGAGCTTTCAGAAGACAATTCCTTTAAATTAATCTTACATTGGCAATCTCCTTTATTCCTCCTTTTCCTTTAATCTCAGAGTTAAAAGTTTGCTTTAGCCTGATATGTATATCTCAAATGTAATTATCTTCAACCATACTTTCCTGGAAAAGTGATATGTTTTGCCCTTTTATTATTTTTTCTTCAGGCAAAAATTAGTTCCAGTTAGTTCTGATGTGTTATAAAGAACAAAGAGCTTAAGTTTCTGTTTTAAATGCACTTGGAAATAGGGTATAATCTAAATCTGGGAAGACCTTTACATATCTCAGAGTTTATAAATAACCAGACTCCTAACTTTTTCAAGTTTTCCCTAGGATATTGCACTTATTATCTAAAGAAGTTTCTGTTTTGCAGATAACAGCTTTTGCTTAACTTTTTAAAAATCTATTTTACTCAGTTAATATTTAGAAAACTGTATTTATATAAGCTCCTTAAGACCATGAGTAGGTATACTTTGTTCTCAGTAACATCTTTTGAAAAAGAAGTTACCAATATATACAGCAAGATCCAAAACTCTTATTTTGACGGCTAGTAATTGACATCTAATAACAATTTCTCCACTCCGCTTCCCATTTTATTACAAAAGTTCAGTGTCTTCCAGTAAAGAATGCCCTAACTTACGATTTTATGAGACATAAAGATGGTAAACGGAATCCTCCCATTTGTCCACATTCAAACCGAAGCACTCTGCTCTGCATATGTTGAGACATTTGTGTTGTGTATTATTTCAAGATTCAGGTATTGAGTGATGAGATATTTAAGTAAATACTTATGTGGTGGTTGAAATTGCGGTCTTTTGAAAGGAGTAAACTCTGAAAGACTTTTCATTTAAAATAGGCTGAAGGAATTAAAATTTTCAAAATTACTCTTATTTTCTTATGTATCATCTGTAGAGATTACCCCCTTTCAGCCTTGGAAGTTTAGGGCAGCAAAATAATTTTCTTTAGAATATATAAAAAATAACTAAGGGGTGAATACCTTTATACCACAATTTGCCTGTGTTCCATTTCTTTTTATTCTCATTCATGAGATACTGATTAATAAACAGGTTTTATGTCTAGAAAATTCCCATCTCTAAATCAAGATTAGTATTCGTTGGCTTTTACACCATAAGACTAAATGTGTTAAAAAAAAAAAAAGGAAGCGATGGAGTGGAAATTCCTGTGCTGTACGTGACATGATTTTCACCTGACCAACATCATAAACTCCTTCCCTTCTACAGGTGTGGGCACTTTTTTTTTTTTCCTCTCCCTCCTCTTTCCACTAAGGGCTAATTAGGGAGGTAGCCTTGAAGAATAAGCTTGCCATTTCTATAAAAGGAGCCACTGCACTGATACACAGCTGAAAATCCTCAGTTTTGGACTGAACTCCCAGCAGGTAAACATTTATTTATTAATATAATACATTTCCAGTCATAGTTTATAATTACAGAAAAGGATGGGAAAAATAGAGATGAAATCCAACCTTATACAGGAAGAATACATTGCAATTAGGTTTCAAGGAAAAATATATGTTGTGTTGTTTCTTGACATGTTTTTGTTTTGAATTTTTTTTACTCTTAAATTTTGATATGAGGAAAATAAGCATTATGAAGTATACATTTTTTTGCATTGTGATATGATCACAGCTAAAACAACTTCTCTGAAACAAAAAATCCTAACATATGAAAAATAATTACTAGCATATGATTACAAGTGCTTAAAAAATGTATTTCCTCATTAACAAATGCCCACCATTGTACTGTAAATAGTGAATTACATTATAAAAACAAAGATCTTATGTTTTAGTGTTTTTAAGACTTAAAGGTCTCCCAGGAGAGTGTCATGCTTTCATTGTTTTTGTGTGTGTTTTTTTTTTTAATCAAAAGGGAAGCAACTTTCTGGGGGAAAAGTTCCAGGCAGTGAGAAAAGCCAAGAGCAAAGGCTCTGAGCGGCTGAGCTTGTCATTCGTCATAAAGTACACAAACGACTTGTGAAAATCGGATCCAACGGGAACTGCATAAAGAAACCTGGTGTGTTTGAGCTTTTTTTTTTTTTTTTTTTTCACTCAAAATGATACACATCCTTGTAAGTGTTGATTTCTGTGAAGGAAAAAATAACTCACTCACATACACAATTCTGAACCCAGAGAGAATTTCTGCTGGTCTGATATCCAGGCTGGCCTGTCCCATAAGAATCGATTGCAAAAGCTTTGTCCAGGGAAAACTAACCTCATTACAAGATAAGTAATATTTAAAAAATCATCAGCATGGGATCTATACAAACATGTCACAAAAACAAACAAACAAAAACAAATGATTAAAAAAAAAAAACAGGCACCAGAAAAATGTGGCTGCCAAGCAGATAAAAATCATGACCCTATTTTTAAAAATGAATGAATTTTTTAATGTTACACATTAATCTAGGATCTCAAAGCAGAGATACAAAAGCTCAGGGAAAAAAAACTCAGCCATTATTATTATTAATCTCCTTTTATTAATTCACAAACAGAACTTAAATTGTGTCCATTATGGTTCAGTGTGTTTATTAGGTTGGTGCAAAAGTAACTGCTGTTTTAGCCATTAAAAGTAATGCAAATACATTACTTTTTAATATGTATTAACTCATCAATCTTTTTTTGGGGGGCACCTTTTCACATACCTATTTGCTATTTGTATGTCTTTTTTTTTAAGGAGAGAAGGAGAGGAAGGAAAAGAGGGAGAGAGAACAGGAATATTGCTTCATTCTTAAAAATGGGTATTAATAATGGCTGATCAATATTTTGTGTATTTAAAGTGGACAATGTATATTTTCTGTATTTAAAATGGAGAGCTGTATAAATATTTATTGAGTTTACTTGTTCTGGATCTGAGTTCAAGTCCTGGATATCCTTATTAATTTTCTGTTTCGTTGAATCTAAATCTCGTTATGGGTCTTATGTATCTGGGTGTTAAGATCTCTTATTGTTGCATTGATCCTTTTACCACTGTATCTTTGTTGCTTTGAAATCTATTTTATCCAATGTGAGAATTGTAACTCCTGCTTTTTGTTTATTTATTTTTGCTCTCCATTTGGTTGGTAAATTTTTCTCCAACCCTTTGTTTTGAGTCTTTGTGTATCTTTGGATATACCATTAGATTTTGGCTGTATCTTTTGATGGGGGGATTTAGTCGATTTAAATTTAGAGTTACTGCCATTTGATGTTAACTGGCTATTTTATCCATTCGTTGATGTAAATTCTTCTTTATGTTGATGCTCTTTACTTTTTGGTATATTTTTAGAAAGGCTCATACTGGTTGTTCCTTTCTATGTATAATGCTTCTTTCAGAAGTTTTTGTAAAGCAGGCTTGGTGGTAATAAAATCTCTGAGTACTTGCTTGTTCATAAAAGATTTTATTTTTCCTTCAATTGTGAAGCTTAGTTTGGCAGGATATGAAATTCTGGGCTGAAAGTTCTGTTCTTTAAGTATGTTGAATATTGGCCCCCACTCTACTCTGGCTTGTAGGGTTTCCACTGAGAGATCTGCTGGAAGTCTAATAGGCTTCCCTTTGTGGGTAACCTGACCTTTCTCTCTAGCTGCCCTTAGTATTTTCTCCTTCGTTTCAATCCTGGTGAATCTAACAATTATGTGCCTTGGGGTTGCTCTTTTTGAGGAATATCTTTGTGGTGTTCTCTGGGATTGAATAGTGTCCTGCTTTGCTAGAGTGGGAAAATTTTCCTGGATAATATCCTGAAGAGTATTTTCCAGCTTGGATTCATTCTCTCCATCACATTCAGGTACACCAATCAAACGTAGATTGGGTCTTTTCACATAGTCCCATATTTCTTGGAGACTTTGCTCATTCCTTTTAATCCTTTTTTCTCTATTCTTGTCTTGTTTTATTTCATTAAGTTGATCTTTGACCTCTGATATCCTTTCTTCTGCTTGATCAATTCGGCTATTTAAACTTGTGCATATTTCACTAAGTTCTCGTGTTGTATTTTTCAATTCCGTTAGTTCATTTATATTCCTCTCTATATTGTCTATTCTTTTCAGCATTTCGTCAAACCTTTTTTCAAAGTTCTTAGTTTCTTTACGTTGGGTTAGAACAAGTTCTTTTAACTCCCAGAAGTTTCTTATCATCCACCTTCTGAAGCCTACTTCAGATAATGGAACACAGTACTTTTCCATCAGGGCTTGTTTCGTTGCTGATGAGGAACTGCAATCCCCTGTAGAGGAAGAGGGGTTCTGATTTTGAGTATGCTCGGCCTTCTTAGGCTGGTTTTTTCCCTTTATTATAAATTTATCCATCTGTCATCTTTACAATTACTGCCTTTCTAATTAGGTTTCTGAGTCGACGTCCAATTTATTGATTCCCAGTGCTGGGATCCGAGCAACCCACTGCACCGGCCAAAATAGCAGCAATAAGACTGATGGTGCTCTTCTGCCTAGGAATCTCTGGTCTGGCTTCCTTCTTGAGTCCGCAACAAGCGGCTCTGCCTTTCCGGAGCTCCAAACACCGGTCAGTAGGGGAACCAGTCCTGTTTACTCTGCATGAAGAGCTGCCGCGCCGAGGCGCCGGCACAACTGCTGGGCCGTCCACAAGAGTCACACTGGCGACCCGTGGGGCTCCTCTAGAAATCTGCTGGTCTGTGAGCGACAAAAATTTGTCTGAAAGTGTGGCATCCTCTCGTTCTCTGAGCTTTCACTGGGAGCTACAATCCCGAGCTGTTAGTGATCAGCCATCTTGATTGATCACTTTCATTGTTATGATAAATATTAATCAATAAAATATTTTAGATGCTTGCTCTGTGCTTATAAACACTCAAATGCCCCCAAAGAAACTTTAGTTTCTAAAAATTACTTGAGCATAATTATTTTTCTTGACAAATACTTTCAAAGAGTGAGTCTATTGGTTATAGTTTGGTTAAAGGAGTTACAACCTTTACCTTCCAATTCCAGAACTTAGTTATTATGGACAGTCTATAATCGAGTGGTAAGGTATGACACTCTGCTCTTGTAGCTTTCAGAATTATTTGTCATTATGACTCTAACATGACTGAAAAATGTGCAGAAAATATTTTCTGTATCTATGAGAATTCTGGTCTATTTTGTGGCATTGAAAAAATATTTCTATTTAATGAAAGATCCTTAAGAAATTAATCGCTGTTTACTGAAAGGGTATTGTCAAATGTAGATTAATTGTAGTGTCCTCTCTGTATGAACCCATGGGGGAATGTCTCTGATTTTAGCTTGTCACCCTGAGTAATTTGTGAGTTGCAAGAGTATAGTCTAAAAGGGTAGGTTGAAGCCTGATTAAGGAGAGGTTTTACTATGAAGAAGCTAGAGTACTGGACTTTAGAGATGGCATAAGTGAAAAAACAAGCAAATGCTAGAGGAAAGAGTATAAGGATAATTTTCTAGGCAAAGTGAATCATTGAACTATATTTCTTTTTATGTTAGAAGGTTTAGTGTCAAAAGTGTCCTCTCACCTGCTGCAGGTACAATTGATTCTCATTGTGGTAATTATTTTCAATAAAATGGTACCAGACACTGACTTAGTTGATGCTGAAACATTGTTCCTAATAGAAATACAGTTAGGTTCCTGTCAGCCTCTGTCACAGTATTTTCATCAGCAGATCAATAATAACCTTGTTTTATGTGTGTTTTTGTTGAAAGACACATTAATATATATCATTGATTCTTGAACGTTATAACTCATGTCCAAACAAAACTTACCTAACAGTTGTATTTTCTCCATTATTCACATCACAGCCATTTTGCACTTAGAAACGCACCTAAGTGCTATGCTTTTGGTCCAATTTAAATAGCAAAATCGACAAAAAGCACAGAAATTTGAAAAACTTGGCACTAAATAGACCATGAGAAGGACACTTGTTTACAGTATTGGAACAAACAAGAAGGCAGAGGTTGCCCTGTTCAACCTTAGCTGGAAACATGAGTTAGGAAACCCAGTTCTTTTTGCTGCTCTCTATACATGACTACAAATGACTGCAGAAGTGCCACAAGTATTGATTTGGGAATTACAAATAAATCCTGGTAAGCAGGAAAATTTTCACATATGGAGTCCATGATTAAGGAGGATCATCTATATACATGGGATTATGTTCCATGCTCCATACTTTGCATATCAACCTCACTTTTGACGCCATATTACTTTGTCCCTTTATTTCTCCCTTGCCTGAATTTTAATTCAAGCTTAATTTTTCTTGATATATTTTATGCGTTTTCATAAATGGTTTTAGATCCTTCAAGGAACAAACCAGGTAATAAAGCAGCAATTATCAGCAAACATTCTAATTCTTATTCTTTTCATTGGCTACTTTGCTAAGTATTCAAGCATAAAAAGATCTCTACACATCAAACCTGATTAAGAGGTTCATGATCCACTGTCCTTTGAAATAATTTTGTTTCATTTTTGAAACTTAGTTGAAATAAATGTATTTCATATAAGTATCTACTACAAAGTTAAAATTGTATTTAGAGATGAGGCAAGTTAGAGGAAATTTAAGCAGATAAAAAAGTGAAGAGATGATGGCTGTACTTCTTTCTTTGCCATTCTGAAGTGTGGCAACTTGATCTTTCCAAAGTTTCCAATATTGGTCCAGACTGGGCGTACTAGGATTCATAAGCCTCTTTGATGTTCAGGTGCTGCCCTGGCCCCTGCAATCTCTTCCGACTCCTGCAGAGAGCACAAACACCTCAAGTGTACCACTCAGTGAACTAGAGCCCACAGGGCTTAATCATATGCTTTCCAGAAGATCAGGCTCACATCAACCTCATGATAGAATTTTACAGCAGATTTTAGGTACGTTACAATTGAATTACAAATTGATTACAATTGAGAACACAAACACCTCAAGTGTACCACTCAGTGAACTTCATATGCTTTCCAGAAGTTCAGGCTCATGTCAATCTCTTGATAGAATTTTACAGCAGATTTTAGGGAGATTACTATTGAACATTCAGGGTATCTTGTAATCACATGGGTATGCCACACAGGGAAATTGAGTAGAGTTTTCTCTACCTGGAAAATATGTTGTAAAGCAATGATCCCAGCTCTCCACAGAGGCACCACATTCTCCTGTCTAGCTGAGTTCTCTCTGCCATCCTAGTGCTTGCCTGCCACATATAACTTAATAAGCTCTGCTACACTGAATGAAGAAATATTTTTTTCTTTAATTCAGTCCATCCCTGATTGGAATGATGCCGAAAAAAAGTTTTCTTGGGAACAAAGCAGGGGAGGTGAAGCCCCAAATCTAAAAACATGAAATTACATGAGAATGATGACTGCATATCTTTTATGTAGGCCCTTCTTTCTTAAATTTTATCTGGCTAAAATGAGCCTCAGCCTTTGCCCTCTTCTGATTCTTCATCTTCAGTCTAGGTATTTCTCTCCAAGTTGTTCCTCATAACCACCCAATGCACTCAAGTCTTTCTCTAGTTTTTGTCCCACATTGTGAAAAGGATGTTTTTCTACTTACCTCAAGATTCTTATTCTGAGCTTCGTATTTTCCACTCAGCAACTATTTAGACTGTCCCTACTGTGTGCCAGGCCCTTTGGCAGGTGCTGTGGATAGAGTAGAGCACAAAGAAGACATGGGTCATACTTTCATACAGCTTATAGTTGACTCACGATGGATTTCGATCAAATAAAACACAAACAAATGTAAAATTACAACTGTTTTACATGCCCTGAATGAAGAGCTTAGAGTATAATCAATGTGTATAACAGACTTAACCCAGTATAGATACTCACATCTGTTCACAATTGGGTCATTTTAAAAACACTTTTTTAGAATTTTTTTTCTTTTCCTTCAGCACCAGTTTTTCCCAAGGATTAGGTCATTAACACTTCCCATGTATTCTCTGGTTTACCCACTCCTGTGCCTCCTATTTTCCTTCTTCCCTCTTCAGAGGGAGCAATGGCAGTCAGAATTATACCCAATGAAAATAGAATTACAAGAATAATCCTAAATAGATTCAAATATTAAAAGGCAAAAATTAAATGTCTACCTTCAAGTTTCTAATTAGGTGTGGAGTTGCAAGAGCTCTGGAATAGATGTTGGTGCTAAACTGTTCTACCAAATTACTGATACTGGAGAAGATGTTGAAGACTTGCTTTCCAGAATCATTCAAGGTACCATAAAATTAATAATTTTTTAAATTTCTTTATTGTGTTAATCTGTAAAATATTGTCAAACTTGTGGCTATTTCCCTTTTTTTCTGATGACAAGACTGTCTAGGAGCACTTGTTAAACATACAACTTTTCAGCTCCCTCCTACTAGAGACAGATTGAATAGGCTGGGATAAGGCCCAAGGAATTACAAGGTATTTTTACTTTAAGTCTGGGATGCATGTGCTGAACGTGCAGGTTTGTTACATAGGTATACATGTGCCATGGTGGTTTATTGCAACTATCTACCTGTCATCTAGGTTTTAAGCCACACATGCATTAGCTATTTGTCCTAATGCTATCCCTCCCATGTCCCCCCCACAGGAAACTATACTTTTCATGTCACCTGGATGGCTCCTAAGGAAATTTAGATAGTTTCTAGATGATTTCTAAATAAATTTGAGTTCTAAAGTATTTTAAATAGCAGAAGGGTATGGACTAGATGGCATTGCGCTTAAGAACATAATCTAGTTAAAACAATAGAAGTGAGGTTTAGATTTTGTTATAAATACAGTGAAATTGCCTTTAAGAGCTGAATTTATTGAGCAAGGAGACTACCCTATGCCTGGTTTTCAAATGTGAGTGGCATGCAGATCACCCAGGAGAGACATAACAAATTAGAATTTGTGAAGACAGAGACTTGCATTTTTACTAAAGACCCTCTATAATCCTTATGTATATTAAAATTTGAAGAAAAGTGATCTAGAAAGAGTCCTCTAATGCACTATACTGTGTTAATTAAATTTGGCCATCCTGCCTTATTGTGCTTAAACTCTGTGTGGTATGGAAATTGTGAATAATAATGTGGAATCATTTGGCTTTAAAAAAGGAGTTCTAAATGGACAATCTGACCCAAATTTTCCCAAGATCAATGCTGACTGAAGTGAATTAATTGAATGAAGTGATAGGCTAGTTTGCTTTAATAACATGTGCAAATAATTATTTTGCCAGAGATAAATAAAAAACTTTTCATTGACCTTTACAGGGCAATAACAGATGTTAGAGAATAAAAAATAAAAATAAAGAAAATACAATTTTGTTTATTTACAGTTTATCTGCTTTTTGGAGTTAGTGGTAAAGTTCCTTCCTAAGCTCATTCCCCCAGCACATTGACTTCCTTCTAGCAACACTCCCTCAACTCAACATTCACCCTTTGAATAAATAGCTATTGGAAGAGTTTGTTTTCAACCAGTGTCAAATCTTTCCGTGGGTTTTAAATCCTATACAAAGAAGTTATGTTTTTTCTTTACAAATCTGAATATTGAAAGGGTTTTTTCCCTTTTAACATTCTGAACACTCTCAATCATATTTAGGTTACATTCTTGAGTAAGAATGTATAGTTTCCTCATGCAAAACTATATTAATAAACATTACTCTGTATATGCAAGATGAGCAGCCACAGAAATTAATGATTAACAGAACAAGCATGAACCTTCCAGGTTACTTTAGAGCTTGAATTTTCACTAAGGGTGATCCATGTTACACAAAAATATAAGCCAAACCCAATTTGGAAAGACTCCTTCTATGAGGATATGTGAATGAGGTCCAGATTGGGTAATATAGAAGAAAGTTGTATAATTTTAGGCATTGAATAAAATGAGTGATTGAGATTAAAATACTGATAAAGTCAGGTGCAGTAGCAAGCTTGTAGTCTCAGCTACTTGGGAAGCATAGGTAGTAGGTTCATTTGAGCCCAGGAGTTCAAGACCCATTTCTTTAAAAAGTTTTTTTTTAATTGAACAAAAAAATGATAAGGGAGGTAAATGTAGGTTTCAATGTCCATATATATATATATATATATATATATATATATATATAGTGCACTGAAATCTAACATGCTACAAAGTACACACAATTTAATTATGTAGCTCGATGAATTTTCATAAAGCAAATGCCTATATAACATCCCCTATTACAGAGAAAGAAAATTACTTTTGACATCACTTCCATCTCCAATGATCCTTTCCAACCACTACCTTTCACTGCTCCCCAAAAGTGACCACTATCCTGACTTCCAAAGCCATAATTTAGTTTTGCCTGTTTTTCAATGTAACATAAATTGGATCACACAGTAAATATCTTTTTCATATCTAACTTCTTTTGCTTAACATGATTTTTGTGAGATTCAGGGATCTCATTTAGCAATAGCCTACTCATTTTCATTGCTGTTTTGTAATCTATAGTACCAATGTGCCACAATGTATTTATTCATTTCACTGTTATGAACATGAATGGTGGTAAAAAGGACTCCTATAGTTCAGCAGTCCTTGTTACCACCATAACTTTGTCCAACCCCTACAAGCACACATGTGATATACAAAAGCTGTTTTGTAGGACGGACATCTGTCTTAGTAGAGAAAAATATGTGGCTGCTTATGATGGCTCATGCCTATAATTTCAATACTTTGGAAGGCCAAAGTGGAAGGATCACTTGAACCTAGGAGTTCAAGACCAGCCTGGGCAACGTAATGAAACCTCCATCTCTACAAAAAAAACACTTTTTTTTCTAAATTATACAGGTGTGGTGGTGATTGCCTTAGTCCCAGTTACTCAGGAGGCTGAGGTGGGAGAATCGTTGGAACCTGGGAGGCAGAGGTTGCAGTGAGCCAAAATGGCGCCACTGCACTCCAGCCTGTATGACAGAGCCAGACTCAGGAGTTCAAGGCTGCAGTGATCTGTGATTGCCCACAGCCCTCCAGCCTGGATAACAGAGTGAGACACTGTTGCAAAAATAAATAAATAAATAAATAAAAATAAAAGTAGAGAAAACTTTAAAGAAAGAAAAGAAAAAATGGGAAAGTCCACAGAACAGAATTCTAACATTATTCTGGTTTGGTTCAGTCACCAAGCATTCAATCATCTGTCAGGCTCCATGAACTTCAAAATAAAGAGACATAGTGATAGCCTTCAGGGAATGCTTATAGAGCCTTGCTCCATCAAATCAAAGTGCAGTTTTTTGTTTTCTTTTAATTTGGGTTGGTGTCACCCTCTAATGATGTCTAATCATAATTTAGGGATGAAGTAGTTACATTTCACAGTTTATTTTCAAATAGTATATTGGACTTGAAAAGTAGCTGAGCATCAAAATTATTTGTGTAAGTTTTTTAATATGCATGAAACCTAACTGCATATGTCATCCTGATTCATTCAGCAAGTATTTATTGCTGACCTATATGCCAAGTACCCATCTAGTAAGCCTATGAATTTGGTACCTCTCACTGCTATACTATAAAAAACTAGTTCTGGAAAGAGTTTTTATAGGATTTAATAGACTTTTTACCAGTTTTCATGTGCACTGATGAAATAACAATAGAAAAATTAATGTGTGTATCTATTGTGTCTGCATTTCTGTGTACATGTTTATAATTTCCTCTCATGAACACGATTATACAGTAGAACAAGAAGTAAGGAAGATAATATGTGACTGAAACCACTAATAGTATGATTGGCTTGTCTCTCTGGGTTATGTGACTCAGGTTTATGGAGCAGTGATGAATATAAATCGTGGGAATCCCTTTCAAAAAGAAGTGGTGTTGGATTCATGGCCAGATTTCAAAGCTGTTATTACCCGACGACAAAGAGAGGTATAGTTTTGCAAGGTAAAAAATTAAAAATAAGAATTGGAAAGAAAAAATAGGTAATGGTATTTTATACCCATAGTAGCCACATATATTAGCTTACAACACTACATGTTTCACCATTAATTTCTTTTATTTTCTTTTCTTTCTATTTATTTATTTATTTATTGAGACAGAGTCTCATTCTGTCACCCAAACTGGAGTGCAGTGGTGCTATCTCAGCTCATTGCAACCTGCACTTTCCAGGTTCAAGCAATTCTCCTGCCTCAGCCTCCCAAGTAACTAGGATTACAGGCACCTACCACCATGCCTGACTAATTTTTGTATTTTTAGTAAAGAATTTAGTAGAAACTGGGTTTCACCATGTTAGCCAGACGGAGCTTGAACTCCTGACTTCAGGTGATCCATCTGCCTCAGCCTCCCAAAGTGCTGGGATTACAGGCATGAGCCACTGCACCCAGCCTCACCATTAGTTTCGAATTTGACTGGCTTCTGAGTGTCAGGAATATGAAAAACCTCTAGTTTAAACATGTTCAATAAAGAGGTTCCTTAGTGTTTCATGATCTCTAGAAGGATGAAGCACACATGGCTGATTTATAGATGCTAGCTTTTTCCCTGAGTGAATGATTCCATATGACTGATGACTTTGGTCATGTGGGTATTTGGAAGAAGAGTGAAGACAACATCTGCCCCATTCTGCCCCCGAGACCAAGGAGAAACTCATGTGGCCAAAGAGGTGCTGTCCTGACCACATTAGGAAGATTTTGAGAGTTGTAATTTTTGGAAGTAAATCCACTCAGTTATATACCGTTTTTATTTTTATAAATAAACAAAATCCTAGAAAAATGTGAAATGGATGTTTAAAAACCTTCCTTGCCAGATATGGTGGCTTGTTCCTATAGTCTCACCTACTTGAGAGGCTGAGGCAAGAGGACTACTTGAGCCCAGGAGTCTGGGGCTATAGGGAGCTATGATTTCACCACTACACTCCAGCCTGGGCAACAAAGCTAAAAAATAAAAAATAATTTAAAAAATTTTTAAACAAATCAAAACATTTTCTAATCCGAGAAGAAAGAATAAAAAATTGGCCAGGTGCAGGGGCTCACGCCTGTAATCCCAGCACTTTGGGAGGCTGAGGCGGGAAGATCACGAGGTCAGGAAATGGAGACCATCCTGGCCATCATGGTGAAATCCCGTCTATGCTAAAAATACAAAAAGTAGCTGGGTGGGGTGGTGTGCCCCTGTAATCCCAGCTACTTGGGAGGCTGAGGCAGGAGAATCACTTGAACCTGGGAGGCAGAGATTACAGTGATATGAGATCGCGCAACTGCACTGCAACCTGGTGACAGAGCAAAATCCGTCTCAAAAAAAAAAATCTTTCCTAATCCCAGGAGAAAGAATCACTGCAGCATATTAGCCCCATTCCCACTTAGCCATTGTTTTATAGGTGACTAATTTTGTTAGCCACCTATAAAAATTAGCTAGACATGCCCAACTAATGTTATCTAATCTACCTAAGATTTGGATTATCCAGAAAATATGTTTATGTTTTTATAATTATGTCCTCTGTCCTAGGCTGAGGTAGATAACCTTGATCATTATACTAATGCCTATGCTGTGTTCTACAAGGATGTCAGAGCTTATCGACAGCTATTGGAAGAATGTGATGTTTTTAACTGGGACCAAGTTTTTCAAATACAAGGTGAGGTCAAGTGCAAGACTTATATTATGCAGTCATTTTTTCTCCTCCATAGTATATATCCAGATAGATATACGTATTTCATATATATGAAAATAGATAGATTATGTATATACACATATATGTATAAATACAAACACATACATTTTATGCATTTACCATTTCTATATTATAGTGTTATAAGAATACTTACTTGTCACTTCTAATGAGGCGTGCATTGCTTTCAGGGTAAAAAGAGATCATTTAAATGGATCCATTCTTAAGTAACATATTTTTTCTATTATTACTGTAACATGGAAGGATATCAGTGAGAATCAGAGAATATTTTTCCTTATTGGTTTTAATCCTTTTCTATCACACCTTTTAAAATAACTATCATTTAGGTCTTTGCCGATAGGTAGGCCTTTTTTTTTTTCTGAATCAGATGATTCTGGAAAGAAATAATCAATTGATCTGCATAATGTCCTGAAATGATTTTTTTTTCTCTCTCTCTCTTCAAGTCAAGGTCTTGCTTTGCAACCCATGCTGTGCAGTGGTATGATCATAGCTCACTGCAGCCGTGAACTCCTGGGCTCAAGGGATCCTCTTTCCTCAGCCTCCTGAGTAGCTAGGACTACAGCTGGCATCACCACACAGGGTTATATTTATTTTTGTAGAGACAGAGTCTCACTCTATTTCCTAGGCTGCTAAAGTGATTTTATACAGAAAGAGTTTATATGAGCTGTGAGGAGATAATTTCATGGTGATCAGTGCTTGTGGCAGAACTTTATGCCAGGAGAAAGGAATATTTAAGGGTTCCTGATAGTTTAGATGAATAGTTTCAGCTTCAGTGTACACTTACTCTTCCAACTTTTCATAATGATTAGATGTTGGTATAGGCAATAAAATTGTTGTTTTTGACTGTTCCAGTTAAATGAGTTCCTTGATCATTTAACAGGGAAGTAGAGAACCTCATATTGGAAATATAAAGGCTAGTAATTTTTTTTTACTGTAGAGAGCTGAGACCCTCCAATAAGGAAAAGCTTCTATCCACCTGGAAAATTTGCAAATAATGACTAACACATGGTCATAAGCGAAAGACTTCAGATGTCATATAAAATGTATTTGTAAATGCTCAAAAAGACCTTATGTAAGAAGCTCTAAACTATCTCTCACCTTTACAGATTTGACCCAGTTATGCTGGTTAGAAATGAGACATGATTCTCTCACAACCAGTATTACTTTAACATGGAAATGAATAAAGTTCCTCATTGATGTGAAAAATCACGGTAGTAATTGGATGGATCTTGGTGCTACAGGCCTATTATCACTAAATCACCTCAATTCATCCTTATATAGAAAAGAGGTATATAATTTCCAATATATTTTTCAGAAGGTTGAGGTGATAGTTGTGAGTAAGTTATCATCTAAATCCACCCATTCTTTCTGAAGGTTTGGTGGGGACAAATGTGAATTAGTATCACCTAACATAGCTGGAGTAGTAAAGGTCCCTCATTTAGCAAGTAAGTCAGCCTGGACATTACCCTGGGCTTCTCATGTGGTATCTTGACTATAGACTTCTGTAGTAATAGCTGTAATGTTCTTAGAATACTGAATACCTTCTAGGAAGTCACTGGTATCTTTACTATTCTTAATTGGAGCACCTACAAAGGTCATAAATCCTCTCTGATTCCATAATACAATTCTAAAAGCCTACCTACTGGCCAGATACATGATCAACGTTTGCCACAGTGCAGATTCCAGTCACATACTAGTTTGGCTACTGGGTAGATAAAGAATTAGGTGATGGAGCTGCTTCAGGACTTGGTGTCCAGAGGAATGACAAATCCTGCATAGGAATACCTTTGTGATTTTAAATCTAAGAGCCATTAATGAACAATATTAAATCATGTTTAACCTACCAAGCTACCCAAAGTAGCTAAACCACCCTTTCGTTTGCCATGTGAAGGGAGGAAGTGAAAAAGTATACAGCTACCCAGACAGGCCAGGCTCTTCTGCTCACTACTAGTTGCACTGATATGAAAAGAATTATCTACATGTATACTAACCTGAGAGTTTCAGAAGCCTGCTTATTGGTAACTAGTCTAAGAAATGTCCAGAATTCTGGCTTATCCAGTTAACTACTCTTCTCATAAGAAGGTAGGTAGAAAGAGGCAGAGCAAAATGTGGAGGTTCCTTTTACTTGTAGGAAAGGGGAAAATAATTTGTTAAAAGTTGTAAGCTATAAAGAAGACCAAAGGACATGATCAAGAACACCATGAAGAGGTAATCAACAAAATCCAAGATTATGAAAACTGCACAGCAAACACTTGGTTGTTTTTTTTTTTAACAAATAAACTGAAAGAATCAAAGAGGGGGTAAAGATTGAAGGAAAACACGTAGATTAAAAAATTTAAGATGACACACTTGAAAAGTAGGCACTGTCTCCTTTTTTCTCATAGTCTTTTGAATTACTTAGGTGGAATTCAGTCTTATAATATGGGATACTAGCCACAGCATCTATAATCTTAATAACATTAACTCAAACTGTTACTTATCTTTTCTGAGGCTTAACTCCCTGAGGGAGGAGTCAAGGCTCAGATGCCTTCCCACTCATGCATTCTTCAAGAAGCCCAGGGCCACACTGAAGAGCCTTACCAGAGGGGAGGAAGCAAGCCATTAGCCAGGGGAAGATGGAAAGTCAGTTTGCAGAGGATTCGATCAATCAGTACACGGACTGGAAAGGAAAGAGTAGTTGGGGATTTGGAAAGGTGGAGAAAGGAGTCATTCTTTAAGCTCTTAAGCTCTCTAAGAACAAAGACCAGGCAGGGCCAGGCATGGTGGATCATGCCTGTAATCTAAGAGCTTTGGGAGGCCAAGGCAAGAAGATCACTTGAGGCCAGGAGTTTGAGACCAGCCTGGGCAAACAGGGAGACCCCATCTCTGCAAAAACAAAACAAAACAAAAAAACTTAAAAATTAGATTGGCCAAAGGGTGGCATGCACTCAGGAGGCTGAGGCAGGGAATCACTTGAGCCCAGGGATTAAAAAATCCCATGGGATATGCCCATTATAAGTTTCTGTGAAGATCATGATGGTGGTCCCAATAGGCAACATCATGGGAATTTGAAAATCCCACAAAAATTTGAAAATGACAATAGCTGTAATGATTTACATGTAAATATATAGTGGTTAGGATAATACAAGGTGGCAAACTGCTGGTATTGATGATACTCAGTATAAAAATACTGCAACAAATTTCCTGTTTCCTTTTTTAACTAAAATGCCCATATATAAATTATGTCTTTCTGTACACAGGGCTGCAGAGTGAGTTATATGATGTTTCCAAAGTGGTTGCCAACTCAAAGCAGTTGAATGTAAAGCTAACTTCCTTCAAGGCTGTTTGTTTTTCTCCTGTTTCAACTCTGCCAGATGCCAGTTTCCTGTATGTAAACCAAGTTTTTGCATTTGGGGCAGGACTTACTGCTATAGAATTACAGGTAGCAGTAACTGGAGTACTTAGTATCACTACGGAATATCTAGGCACTTTAGATTTCAGACATTGAGCATAAATGGAAGTGTGCATGTGTGTGTGTGTGTGTGTGTGTGTGTGTGTACTTTTCTCCTCTCTCCTGTGCTTGACTGCTCATAATTTCATTAAAAATCAAATCAGTATCTTTGTCCATAGTTATAAATGAACTCAGGATTCCTATGTTTTCACAGTACCCATGGAAAAATTGTTCCTTGGTGTCCTCCTCCCTCAAATAATTCTAAATAATTTATATTGTCTGAGTCCAACAATCCAACAATAATTTATATAGTTATTGTTTTTGTTGTTTCAGGGATGGGAGCAGACTTATGCTGAGCTCTTATTTGCCAGGGACTAAATGTCTTAAATATATTATTCCATTAGTTCTTTCCACAACTTTGTAAAGTAGGACTATTATTACTGCCCCTCCCACCCCAGATCTTTTTAAGCAGAGATGAAATAACACACAGGGGTAAATTATGGAGCCAAGAAATCCCAAGTTCAATTCCAGATGCAATCTTTCAAAACAATGATTAGTTTCTATCTGCATTCATTCTTCTTTTGTAGTCCCTGTTCTGTCACTTACTAATTACCTTTCCTAGTCTCAATTTTTTCTGAATTCATTCCATTAAGTGTTTTTAAAATTAATACCATTTTAAATCAACAAATAATAATGGTACACATTTATGGGGTACAATGTGATGTCTTGATAAATGTATATAATGTAGAATGACTAAACCAAGATAGTTAACATTTTAAAAAGTGTTATAATATTTTCTTGACATGTTGTTTTGCAAGAGACTGAAGAAAGATAATTAAAAAACACCCACCACAATGAATACTTATTTTCTTTACTCCTACAGTGAATGTTGAAAAAATTGTTGAGCAAAACTGCACTATGCCTTAAAAAGAATGCACATTTTAAGTCATAGGAAAGCAACTGGATTTTCTTTTATTATATTTTTAATTATGAAAATTTCAAACACACATAAAAGTTAAAAGGATAGTATAAAGAACCTCCCACCAATACGTAGCTAACCTTATTTAATTTATACAACTATATATTCTTTCCACTCCCTGGATTGTTTTGAAGAAAATGTCCCAGACATTATCCTTAAATATTTTAATATGTAACTCTAAAAAATGAATCTTTTAAAAAAAAAAACCCCACTATACTGATATTACTTCTGTGTCAGAGGTCCCCAAGAACACCCAAGGGTTCTATGGTTCACTATGTTGACACACAGGACTCAGCAAATATACTCATGGCTATGATTGATTATAATGAAAAGATAAAATGCAAAATCAACAAAGGGAAAGGGTGCACTGGGTAAAGTCCAGCGGAAACCAGGCACTAGCTTCCAAGAGTTCTCTCCCAGTGGAGTCACACAGAATGTGCTCAGTCCCCAAGCAATGACCTATAATGATATGTGTAAAATGTTTCAAACTCAAGCAGTCCTCCTGTCTGGGCCTCCCAAAATGCTGGGATTTCAGGTGTGAGCCACCATGCTCAGCTAAGAGTTGTCTATCAGGGAAATTTACTATTAGAGACTCAGTGCCCAGGATTTTTATTGGCAGCATCCTCTGCCTAGCACAGACCAATTTCCTAGACTCGCAGAAGGAAAGCCAGTGTACAGCAAAACTCACACTGTTTGCACAGTTTAATCAAAGTGAGCCATTTATGTAAGTCCTGGAAATGGTAGCCCTCCTCCAGATCCACATTCCCAGACACCAACCAAGGGTCAACCTTGCAATTAGGTCTTTTTAAGGGCAATGGCCCCAAACCTTCTATGTTCGCCTTTTTTGCACAATCCCTTAAAATATTGTTAACAATATTTCCTTAAGTAAAATAACAGTATTCATATTTCCAAAATATCATAATATTTTAAAGTTTGTTTTGAATCAATGACCAAATAAGATCCATACATTAGGACTCTTTAATATATCGAAAGTTTCCTTTGACTTGTGACTTCCCCTTCATCTTTACTTTTTGGCATTACTTTTCTGTTGAAGAAACCAGGTTATTTGTACTTTGAAGTATCCCATAATCTGTTTACTATTTTATTTGAAGTATCCCATAATCTGTTTACTATTTTATTTGAAGTATCCCATAATCTGTTTACTATTGTATCCCTGAGGAATTATAGTAAAGCTTTTTGAAATGGAGTTTTAACTTGAATTGATCTCTTTTTACATACAGTTAAACATTTTGTCCTTTTTATTTCTTAACTTCCCACACAACACTGATGTAAACAATTTGTCATTAACATATAAATTGTTACCCAACTTTGTCAACTCTGTTTTGAACACTGTGCCCTTTGGAAACAAGGTCAGAGTCTCTAACATTACTACTCCTAAAACACTTGCCGTAGCAATGTTTTTATTTGCAGTGATATTTCTGCCCAAAGCTTCTTTACCCTTGCCTTAAACTTATTTCGCAAAAATTCAATAGAAAATTCCACTAAGCCAGCTATTTTTTTCCCCCTGCTTAGTGGATAGATGACTGGCCCAGTTCCATAGCTGATAATATGCCTGAAATGAGCAATAACACTACACACCACTAATTAAAAGAAAACACAAATTTTTACTTTATAAAAATGATGACAAGAACATTACCAGTCTCTTACCAGTCACTGGGGATAGTCTTATGATATTAATAGCTTTAAGAGAGCAAATTCTGAGGTACTGTCAGCCTCATAGGCTTTCATCTAAGAAATTTATTTCAGTTTTTATAAATTACACCAATTACTTTTCTTTATCTTAATATCAAGGCTTTATATTGTAAATTAATAAAAACTTTCATAACATTAGAATAAACACAGTGAATGCTAGTGGCCTATATAAACACTGCCATGGAAAAGTTGAAGGTTGGGACTATTTAATCTAGAAAAAAGCAGGCCAAGGAGACAGTTTGAAGAACAAACATGGCCAGGCACAGTGGCTCACACCTGTAATCCCAGCATTTTGGGAGACCAAGATGGGTGGACCACCCTGAAGTCAAGAGTTCCAGACCAGCCTGGCCAACATAGCAAAACCCCATCTCTACTAAAAATACAAAAATTAGCTGGGCATGTTGGCATATGCCTGTCATCCCAGCTACTTGGGAGGCTGTGGCAGGAGAATCGCTTGAACTTGAGGGGCAAAGGTTGCAGTGAGCCGAGATCACGCCACTGCACTCCAGCCTGGGTGACAGAGCAAGACTGGGTCTCAAAAACAAACAAACAAAAACCCAAATATTTCTAAAGCATGCACATATTCCTGGCATATTAAAAAAATCTATATTTCTTTTTTGGCTATGGATACATAACCACAGAAGTTCTATCCTAAAACGTTTATTTTATTGAGCAAAAGATTAGGGCTTCAAGAATCTGGACTTACCAAGGCCTTAGTGAGGGTTTCAGCAGAGTCAGGACTAAATAAAAGCAATTCTGAGGGGTTTTATTGTTGTTGTTATTGTTGTTGTTGTTGTTTATAGGCAGTGTTAAAAGAAAAACTTTAGACATTAAATTTAGCAACATTGGTCTGGGAGCAGTGGGGTCACACCTGGAATAATTGCAACACTTTGGGAGATGTAGGCTGGTGGATCACTTGAGGGCAGGAGTTGGAGATGAGCCTGGCCAAAGTGGTGAAACCTTGTCTCTACTAAAAATAGAAAAATCAGCCAGGGATGGTGGCACACCTGTAATCCCAGATACTCGGGAGGCTGAAGTATGAAAATCGCTTGAACCAGGGTGCTACAGGTTGAAGTAAGCTGTGTTTTGCCACTGCATTCCAACCTGGGAGACAGAGTAAACCTCTATCTTAAAAAAAAAAAAAAAAAAAAAAAATAGAACGTTTATTTAAGCAAAGAACAGTTCGTGAATCTGGCAGCACTCAGAATCAGAAGAGGTTCAAAGTTACACCCACCAGTGGGAGATTTTATAGGCCAGATCACAGAAGCAAAGTAGGCAAATCCTCTGATTGGCAACAGCTCGGTATCTGCATTATTTGGGCATGGTCTGCTCACTTACTTGCCTATGATTGGCTCATTTAACAAACTCAACCATTTGTTATACTCCTAGGGTTGGTTTGGAGTCATTTATATACTATGATAGGTTGCAGTTCAACACATGGGGACTCAAGGTATGAAGGGAGCTGCAGGTCGAATTTAATTGATTTAACAACAGAAACACTTTCCTTGACCTGTGCTGAATGAAGACAAAAGCAAGTGAACATAAAATTGGAAGCAATGACTTAAATTTGGTGTAGTAAGTGCTTTGTCTTCTCAGAAATAAAACTCCGAAAGGTGCTTGTAAATTGGGAATGGTGAATTCTAACTCACTGAAAATCTTAGGTGCCCTCTCAGGGATGATTACTCATTTTGAGCCATCAAAATGAGTTATAGGCAATGCACAGTGGCTCATGCCTATAATCCCAGATCTTTGGAAGCCAGAGACGGGCAGATCAGGAGATCAAGAGTTCAAAATCAGCCTGGCCAACATGGTGAAACCTCATCTCTATCAAATATATGAAAATTAGCCAGGCATGGTGGCTGGGCCCTGTAAACCCAGCTACTCCGGAGGCTGAGGCAAGAGAATTGCTTGAATCCAGGAGGCGGAGATTGCAGTGAACTGAGATCGCACCACTGCACTCCAAACTCGGCGACAGAGCAAGACTCCGTTGAGAGAGAGAGAGAGAGAGAGAGAGAGAGAGAGAGAGAGAGAGAGAGAATTTATAATCACGTGATTCTGAGGTCCTATTTGTTCTCATGTCATTCTGATCTAGGAAGGGGCCTTCCCCACGACTAACCTACCTGAGTGTTGCTGATGCGGATCTACTCAACCGGACTTGGTCGCGGGGCGGCAATGAGCAATGTCTCCGGTACATCGCCAACCTCATCGCCTGCTTCCCTAGTGTGTGTGTCCGGGATGAGAAGGGAAATCCTGTCTCTTGGTCCATCACAGACCAGTTTGCCACCATGTGCCATGGCTACACCCTGCCAGAACATCGCAGGAAAGGTTACAGCCGGCTGGTGGCCCTCACGCTGGCTAGGAAGTTGCAAAGCCGGGGATTCCCCTCTCAGGGGAACGTCCTGGATGACAACACAGCATCTATAAGCCTCCTGAAAAGTCTCCATGCTGAGTTCTTGCCTTGCCGCTTTCACAGGCTTATTCTCACCCCTGCCACTCTCTCTGGCCAGTCTCACCTCTAGCCCAGTGAAAAACTGCAGTGGTTTTCTTACTTTCCCTGAGCATACACACTCTTGGCTGCCAATGAAGGGAGAGTTAAAATGGGAATCAGGATACTCTTGGGTTGTTGGAAAGTACCTGGCTAATTCATACAGGATCTGCTTGAGAAGCCTTAATTCTTTGCATCTCAGGTTTCTCCAGTAAAATAGCTGTGGGAGTGAAGAGTAGCTGTGGCTGAAGACAGGATGATTGGTTCCTCTGTATGAGAATAGGATCTAAAGCCAGCAGTTTTAGTGTACTGGGAGAAATTACTGAATGAGAACAAATGATTTAACCCAGGACTTTGGGGCTTCTGCTTTATGTTTGCTGCTTGGACCTCTGTATTCTTAGAGCCACATCGCTTCCCTACTGCCATCACTTTCCCCTATTCCCACTGCTGTGTCTCACCAACCTCTGTTCCTAAAACCTCTGCCGCCAAGTGTTTTCTCTGTAGAGTAACCTGCTTTTTCCCTTTTAATTACTTGCTCTTTACTTCTGCCTAGGACTCGAGCTTATAATTTGCTGCCATGGGAATGTTCAAATGCAGTGATTCTTAGTGGTTTTAGTGTTTATCAGAATCACCTGGAGGGCAGGTTGCAACACGCATCCCTAGGCCTCTCCTGCTATGAGGTAGGGCCCAAAAATTTGCATTTCTAACAGCTTCCCACTGCTTATTTGCCTTGGATGAATGACAATATGGGCATTTTGATGCTATAAACAAATGCTGTAAGCATAGGACTAGACCTTACCTGTAATCTATTTCAGTTCCTTATTCTTATAATCTATTTCCTATATAAAACTAAGATTCATACCTAGGGGTGTGTGGGGTATACAAATGAATATATAACATATGCATATACATATATATACATTCAATTAATATCTTCTATATGTATATGTATATACTCATAGAATTTTGATAAGATAATAAACCTTAACTCTCTGATTACATGTGAAAAATTTGAGGACCAGAGAAAAGAAATAAGTTTGTCAAGATTATATTCTTTATAATCCATACTGGAGGCAAAGCCAGAATGCTGTACTTTTAATTTCAATCTGTTCTTTTCACTAAATCATGTATCTTTTTTAATAAAGAAAATTATAATGCTTAATTAAAATATTAATTTATTTTTCTTTTATCGTTCTCATTATTTCTTCTTAATTTGGGTTCCAGTTGCTTGTGTATGTGTATCTTTCAAGGCCAGCAAAGAAAGAGGTAAGTATCACCAGCTGTGTTCTCCATTTACAATAAAAGCAGGCACTAACAAAATAGTTGGATTTGCCCTGTCTTGATAAACTTGACTTAGCTGTATAGAAAATACTGATTTCTGATACCCAAGGAGAACACAAAATCCTGACTACAAAGATAGGGCAAAAATCCAACTTTTAGGTGTTTATTCTGAGAAAAGGAAACAAACTGGCTGAAGTAGAGCACATTTAAATAATAAAAAAAAATAAGACTCAGTAAGAATGAATATATGCTTAGGTCGAGCCCATGGTTACCTGGAAACTTATCTATTGTTGGATCCAGAGAGGAAAGCACTAAGTAACCAGAATCCATAAACCTCTTAGGAGAATATGCCCTAAGGATGCTAATTATCTTTAGCATCGAGCTTGATATCTGGCAATATTATTATAGCCTTATCTTTTTCCTAATGATAATTTCTTTAACATTTGACATTTAACTATGTGCTAATAATTGCACCAAATATGAGATGTATATAACTTAATCCTTGTGAGGGATAAGTTATTGCCTTTTGTGGGGATTCTGACTTAGAGGCGTTATGAGCCACCAAATTTATGCAGACTCTAAGTGGCCAAATCATGATCAGAACATGGGTGTGTTGGATTACAAAGCCTGTACTACTAGTCATTAAGCTAATTGGCCTCTCAAGCAGCTTGGAACACTTTGTAAATAATTATTCCCTTATCTCATTACTTTCTGAATTTTCTACCCTCACCTCCACCCACCCCAGATACGGACCCATATTTGAAAAATCTTTTTGTTTCTACCAACTTACTCTTATACTATTTTCTTACTTTCATCTTCTAGCTAACCATGTTGGATGTAATTTCTCAACTTTTAACACTGTTTCTGACCCATTTAAGGCATGTGCAGAGAAATGTCTGGAATGAGTAGAAAACAAGGAGAAGAGAAATACTGAAGAAGTAGAAACGAGACCGGGCATGGTGGCTCACGTCTGTAATTCCAGCAGTTTGAGAGGTCAAGGCAGATGGATCACTTGAGGCCAGGAGTTAGAGACCATCTGGCCAACATGGCAAAACCCCATCTCTATTAAAAATACAAAAATTAGCTGGGCATGGTGGTACACGCCTGTAAGCCCAGCTGCTTGGGCAGCTGAGGCATGAGAATCTCTTGAATCCAGGAGGTGGAGGTTGCAGTGAGCCAAGATGGCACCACTGCCCTCCAGCCTGGGCAACAGACCTAGACTGTATCTTTAAAAAAAGAAGTAGGAAGAGGCTTGATCAACATAGGCTTTACTTGTTGATTTAAGAAAATTATTCTATGTAATATAAAAATCAATAAAACGCTTTAAGCAGATCATTAATCTGTTTGGAAATTAGTCGAGAGGAAATTAGTCTAAGCAAAATATGATGCTAACTTGGATTTGAATGCTAGCAATGATAATGGTGAAAGGTGAACAGTTACTTAAACTAGAAGGAAAAGCTGTTGGAACTTAATAACTTAGTGGCTGTAGGGTATGGCAAGAGAGAAATGTCAAGGATGACTACTGGACTTCTATGTTGTAAAAGCCACAGCTGGTGATACTTTTCACTGAGATCAGAAATCCTGGAACAATCCCAGATCTGGAGCAATTTGTAGCAGGGAAAATAGTTTGTTCAGTTTGGAGATGTTAAGTTCTGAAACATGCAAGTGATGGGATCAAGTTGGATATTTGAGTCTAACGCTCAGAGAAATTATTTGGGATAGCGATATACATTTAGAAGTATACAGATAATAGCAGATGCCATGAGTTTATCTGAGGTTGTCTAGTATGGAACCTTAAATGCATCAACTATTTAAGGCAAGGGAAAGGAAAGGTTCTGGAATAGGAGAAGGAGCAGCCAGAAGACAGGAGGAAAGCCAGGAGATAACTGTTATGGAAGAGAAAGAAGAAAAATTTTTAAATGGAGGGATGGTCAATGGTGTCAAATTATGCTGAGAGGTCAAGAATACATTAGGAATGAAACATCTTCATTGCACTATTAAAACCAGGCAAAATGAATATTTATCTGTAAAAGTCAGGAAGTAATTACCCTTTAGAGGGATAGTAAGTAAAATTGGACATGAAATGGCTTCAGGATTTCCAGTAATGTTCTGATTCTTGACTTGGGTGGGTTACAAAGGTGTGCTCACTTTGTAATACTTTGTTACATAGGTGTGTTCCACTTTGTAACACAAGTGTGATCCCTCCAGCCCTGATTTAATCAGGCCCTTTTCTGCTGGGCTCAGTCTTTCCATAGGCAAATCTGCATGACTACTCACCTCCTCCTCCCCTGTGAGTCAGGGCCTGGAGCATATGATTATCAAACTATGTATATCTACTTTTCTGTATGCATGTTATACTACAATAAGGAATATTCATTAATAGAAAACAGGCCTGAAATCTAGAAAATAATGCATATTTTCATGACATAGAAGTTCCATTTTTAGAAATTTCTCATACTAGTATAATAGAAAAATATGCGAAGATTTGTATAAAAGGATGTTTATTACAGTGCTGTGTGTAAAGCCAAAAAAAAAAAACCCTAAATATTTTAAGTAACTCACTGGTTAAATATAGTACAGCCATTCTATGAAATTCTATGGAATACTAGAAAACTAGGTTTGGTGACACAGAAAAGATGTACATAATAACACTAAAGGCAAAAACAATTACAGAAAATATATGTAATCCACTTGAAATTCAACTGTAAAGATAAAGAGAGAGTATGTAGGTAAATAGTTTTGAAGGCAGTTTAATGGGTTTTACTAAAGGTAAAAGTTGGTAAATGGTGGCACATATTTTATAGTGTGGCCATGGCTAGATATAATAATAAAAGGACTCAGTACAGGCAAAATGCTCAGCTTTCCTGAAACATGTGCTTGTGTGTTTTGGATGAATTTTGACTAGGTTTTGTAAGCATCTATATATTTTAGCAAGAATGAGTATTCAGTCTACCTAAGATTCACTGAGGACATACAGGGGAATAACTGAGAATTCAATCTACTCAAACTTTGGGAGCAAGATAGGTAAGTGAAATTGTGGGGAACATTTATACAGCCTCTAAAATAGAATCTCATTTAACAATACAAGATTTGATTAAGTTTGCATTCTTTAGTCACTAAGTTTTGTTCAATGATTTGAATTTTCATAAAGAACATGAGATAAATATATATTACATTTTCTTAAGCTGTCTTTGATACACCTCAAACTTTGTATCCCTTTTTCTAACCTCAGTAAATAATAAGGGCAAGGAAAAAATGACAATGAAAGTAAAAGGTAGCAGATGGAGTAACAAAACATGGAGTACAAATATTTCTTCCTTCTTGCCTGAAATGGTTGCATTAAAGTTATGTATTATAGTGAGGAAAATGAAGACAGTAGAGACACACAAATATGGAATTTTTTTCTATATCAATTTGGCTAGTTAACATTTCCTAAACTTCTAATAGCCCAAGATTCTCAATCTAAACTCTAACAATAAAACCTAATTGTTAATTAACACTTTGCTTTTTCTGATCTTGGCCCTGAAGGATGGAATCAAAGAAGGAAGAGTCACTTCTAGTGTCACCTTTTATCCTAACCTCCTCCCACCTCAGCAGTGCTAGTGTCACATATGTTCCCAGCACTGTCCCAGTTTTGTTTACTACTTGAGGAAACTTCTTTCCTTGAGACAACTTTTGTTCACTTCTGAATTTTGATCTTATGATTTAAAAAATTAAACATGCCCAACACGGTGGCTCACACCTGTAGTCCCAACATTTTGGGAGGCCAAAATAAGTGTATGGCCTGAGGTCAGGAGTTCAAGACCAGCCTGACTAACATAGAGAAAACCCATCTCTACTAAAAATACAAAAAATTAGCTGGGTGTAGTGGCTCATGCATGTTATCCCAGCTACTAGGGAGGCTGAGGCAGGAGAATTGCTTGAACACGGGAGGCAGAGGTTGCAGTGAGCAGAGATCATGCCATTGTACCCCAGCCTGGGCAACAAGAGTGAAACTGTCTCAAAAAAAAAAAAATTACTAAATGCATAGCTAATGTCTGAATTTTCCTCTTACTAATTTATTTGCAATTTTCCTTTTCACCAACAGATCAATGTGATTTCAAGGCAAAATATGTTTTAGATTTTAAACACTGTTACAAGACATTCCTTAAGACAGGACTATGAGATGTTCACTTAATACTGTGCAGTTATTGCAGTGAACACTAGATGTCAGATTTTAGTTCTAGATTATTTCCCAGCAGAGGGAGCACTTGAATTGTTTCCAAAGGTTTCTTTAGAATTTTTGCCTCATCCTTTCAGCGGATTCCTATAAGCTTTAGCTGATTCCTATAAGTTTAACTACCACATCAAAAGATATGAACATTTTAAAATCTCAACATATAATGTGTAACATTTGTTTCAAATGATTGTGGCAACCTATCCCATTTGACCTCACTGTCCCAGAGTTGAGTTGTTTTTGTTTGTTTTGAGACTGAGTCTCACTCTGTCGCCAGGCTAGAGTGCAGTGAGACATCTCAGTTCACTGCAATCTCTGCCTCCTGGGTTCAAGCAATTCTCCTGCCTCAGGCTCCTGAGTAGCTGGGACTGTTGGAGCGCACCACCATACCCAGCTAATTTTTTTTTTTTTTAGTAGAAAATGGGTTTCACCCTGTTGACCAGGATGGTCTCAATCTCCTGACCTCGTGATCTGCCCACTTCAGCCTCCCAAAGTGCTGGCACCTGGCAATCTCATGGTTTTAAAAACAGGAGTTTCTCTGCACAAGCTCTCTCTTTTCTTGCTGCCATCCATGTAAGACGTGACTTGCTCCTCTTTGCCTTCCACCATGATTGTGAGGCCTCCCCAGCCATGAGGAACTGTAAGTCCAATAAACCTCTTGCTTTTGTAATCTCAAATCACTTGGGT